ATGACCATTGTCACCTCCATCTCCTCGACCACCAGCGGCGCAGGGTTGGACTCCGATGCGGCATGAACATTGTTGTCGACATCCCTGCGTGCTTTCGGGTGAGTGATGGCGCCAGAATTTATTTGAGTAGCGTGCTGTTGAGAGCGATTGGTCGATGGAGCAGCGGAGTTCGGAACGACGGGAGCAGAGACCTTCTCAGGAGGGGACTCGGTTTGCACCGACGACGTGCTGCAAGCCTTCTCGATCTTCTTCGGAGACTCAAACTCCTTGTGATAGATAGGCGCGACTCCGTCCGCCATTTGTTTCTGGGTTGAGGCTTTGGCAGCGGTGTCGGCGACTGCTTTGTACAGATTGTCATCAAGATCTTCCTCCGTGAAGTGAAAGATATCGTTCCAGATGTAGAAGCCGGTTGGTTGCTCAGCCAGAAAGAAGGTTTGAGCGAACTTGTGAGATGATTGGCCTTTGTTGGACATTTCGCCGAGTACTTGAATGACAATGCCCCCGTTGAAAGAAGGTTGGCTGTCAACGCTTTTGATCGACACTTTGCGGTATCGGCGGGTCAGTTCAGCGACGCGGTTGTAGATTTCCTGATTTAGATTTCAACGTTAAATGACAGCAAGAGATATTCAGAACTCATATCACCATATTAGAGCATACCTGCAGGCCATGGCATTGCCTCACGCTCTCCTGTTCGACTTTGTGAGAGCAATTTGGTTCAAAGAGCAAGTGAAGTTTGCTGGGGTCGTATGTGAGGAAGGTATAGTATTCGTGAACGAAAAGGCGCCCAATTTGGAACGAGTCAATCTGGCCAAAGGTATCGTCAGAAGTTTCGCAAACAGCGTGCCTCCGAAGTTGGATATATAAAGATGGATCACCTTGGAGTGGTCCGCGCCGGAGGTCATCGTTTGGTGACAAGGTTTGTGGATAATGTGAAGGGTTCACAGAGAGCACGCGATTGGAGTTCAGAGAGCGTCCAGGAATCGCAGTGAACAGCAGACCGGTGGACTTTTGTGCTTGCGAAAACAGCAATGGAGATGCAGATGAGGATGGAAGATCGTGGGGAGATCGAGCGTGCGCCCAGGCCAGCTGTCCCCGTGCTGCCCAATCCAGACTTGCTGCGGGCGGCTAACGTAGCTATTTTTAACCCTCACTCCCAATTTTGGTGGAAACTTGACTCTGGCCTTTAGTAACCGTTTTTTACAATTGGCCTTGGGCAAACCTCCTACAGAGCTCTAATAGCCCCAACAAATCGCCTGCTCACTTTCATATTACCCGCACTCGATAATACATATAACAGCATCTTTTGATCAATACTAATACATCGGCTCGATAATGGCAGCACAGGAGGTTGAACATGTTACCCTTCCTGCCGCCGGTGAACTCTCAGCAGAGAATCCTCCTAGCATCAGCACTATAGCTAATTCAAACGCGTACGTATGCTAGTTTGAACGGTCATTTAACAGAGTGCAAAAAAAGGTCAAAAACACTGTAAGCTTAAACAACTCATAGAGCATCGCAAAGAGTTCGACACGTTCTGGTAGGAGCGACCGGCAGTGTCGCCAGCGTCAAAGTGCCGCTCCTTGTTTCGAAGTTGAAGAGCGTTTTCAACGTGAGCACCACTCTCATAATGTCCATCATTTGCAAGTGACCCAAAGTCTTACCATCTTCAATTCAGAATAATGTGGAGGTCCGCGTAGTCGCCACAACATTTGCTCAACACTTTTTCAAAAAGGAAGATGTGGGGTGTCCAGTATTTACCGATGAGGACGAGTGGGAGGTACCGTTTGGCGTAGAACATAACTCTTTGGAAATATCGCTAACGCGATGGCCCAGACATGGAAGAAGATTTCTGATCCTGTTTTACATATCGAGGTACAAAGGCTACCCCAAAATCGGAATTTTGAATCCCAAGCGTATCAACATCTCCCTCCTAACAGCTGCGGAATTGGGCAGACATCATGGTCATAGCTCCGCTGGATGCAAACACGATGAGCAAGCTGGCGAACGGAGCATGCGATAACCTACTGGTCAGCAGAAACTGCTTCTGCATCATTCGAGTTATTGCTGATTTTGTCCCCAGACATCGGTGCTCAGAGCCTGGGACCCAGCTCGGCCCGTCGTACTCTGTCCGGCCATGAACACCTTCATGTGGGATCATCCCTTCACTGCCAAGCATCTACAGCAACTGGAAGAAGTTATGAAGTACTTGGTTGTGCCGCCCATATCGAAGAAGTTGGCTTGTGGAGATATAGGTACTGTGATTTAGGCTCAACATTGGTCTGGATACGAGTAGCTGACCCCACATCACTTGTGCAGGAGTGGGCGCCATGGCTGAACCAGCTGATATCGCTGCTTATGTACACGGACTGTTCAGCGGTCAGAATGTATGAAGTCTGGAAAGTTAGCCAATATCTTATTCGCCGACAGTATAAGAACATCTTGAAAGCTGGTTTTGTAGATAGCTGTACATAGGTATATAGATTCTGTATTTTGTCATTAGGGTATCCGAAGCAGCATTGAGGAAATGACCTCGTTATACCATTTTGTGCAAGCTGCAATTTCGAACGCGCCACGCATAGTATTGGGGTCATAGCACCCTGACGAGAAATGGGCCATGTCATCCTGCTATCGTTCATCCAAACCACCTCTCCTTCAAGATTGCAAAAGGGATCTGGTCCGGAAACGGCGCCTGGAGCATAAACCATTGCCGCAACTCAACTGCATCGTATTCACCATCAACTGTTGTTCTGTATTTGGCTGCTCTATGCATACTCTACCACCTACTGGGAACGTCTACCTAATTATAAGTTCTACAACTGGACAGCGTTAGCTAACCCTACCCTAGGCTTGACGGTGCCATCCAGTTGAACATTGTAGTCGTAAAGGGAGTAAAACTACAGAGAACATCATCATTAGTGTGTTCAATATTACAATGGTCGACTTGAAGTCCAGCAATGACCACCTTTCGTAAAAAGACCTGTCCCAAGCTCCATTTGTTCGTGGTGTCCGCCTGATTTGTACGAAAGTTGTCAGTTGTTCCTAGACTCAAAATGTCAACATGGAGAATAGTGGCATGCGTGCTTACCCCTTTTACGCTCATGAATGGGGCGTAACAAACCCGGTCATCGTCTGCATGAACTTGGACGGCCAAATCCGGACCTGTGGTGACCAGTTCGCAAGACAGTCAATGGGACTTGATCGGAAACTAAATTGGTGACAGCTTACCAGTCAACTCAAAGGTAACGTTCCCTAGTATGACAGTAACGACATTTGAAGCTTTGCGAAGAGTGTCGCAGGGCATGTCCCATATGCCATGGACGCCTGTTGGGTAGGCATTCAGAAGGGTGTTGACCCTCTGAGCAGTTTCGTAGTCTGTTATTATTAGTGGAGTTGCTGGAGGGTGTGCCAATATTTATAAAATGAGTTCTTCTCAAATGCAGCGACTTTCAGTATCCCCTGCGATCAAATTGGAGTGCGGAAAGCACCTACCACTATCCAAAACAGCCCTCACACCTGCCCCACTCCCCGTCACATTGACTCCTCCAACGCCGAGACCCTCCATCTCAACGTGCCACCAATTCCGTGCATCAGGGACGTCAAGCCAGGTTATACTTTCACTATACCGGGAAGAGTCACCATATGGGGCAGAAAGGGCAAGTTCTCCAAAGGTTTGGGTGAGGTAGAGTGCGAATGAGGGTGATGGGAGTTGTAGCTGAGCATAGAGGGATTCGATGAGGGAGGTTTGGAGGGGAAGATTGCCTGTGTGGAGTTAGGGCGGTTGCGAAATCACAACCGTCAATGTCATTTGAGCAGATGATAGCTTTGGAGTGTGTGATTACCTGGCACCACCTGTCGAGCCCATGAAAGGGAAGAGAAGGCTGCCAAGGTTCTGTGAGTTGGCAGAGCCGTGGGGATGGATATGCAAACCACCCACCTAACCCTAACACGCCATCCACTTCTCCCGTCCCTCCACCACCGTAGTCCTTCGTATAAGTCTGAATGAAGACCGTATCGTTACAAGATAAGGTGCCTCCGCGGATTGAGTCCTATACCCGCATGTGTCAATTTGGGTTCAGGCTTTCGGGTCACCGCATCTAAATCATGATCGTGTACATTGGAATGGCTTTCATACTTGCGCTAAGACTCCTGTGGATGACCCAATGCCGTACTGTTAATCGAGAGGGTTGGATTCATTAGTATGCGCTGATTGGAACTTGCAACCCGAAAGGTAGAACATACTTACAGGAACTGTGATCTCGTTGCCGACTACCGAAGCGGACTGCGATGTGGCAGGGTCATAGCGTGGTGATGTACCGCACGTACTTCCGCATTTGATAGAGGGGACCCAGATGTCGGATGATGCTGCGTAAGTTGGGTGCGTGCGAAGGGTACATATGTGCCCGTTGATGATATGTAATGGAATGAAGGATGACGGCATGAAATGTCGTAATTTTGATTAGCGGATGGACCAGCGGTTTGAGATGTCCCGTTTAAGTAGCAATAAGCTGGGACTGCTTGTCCCTACGAAGACATACCTGTATCGATCGCCAAACGGAACGACGTTCCAGGTGTTCCCACCTGCACCTCTGCTACATACTTTGCGAGAATGACTGTAAGCGTTCAAAACATTGCATATTTACATAATGAGTTCAGCTCACGTCTTACTTACCAGATTGTTACTCGTTCGGTTCAACTTCCAAACTTCCAAGGGTGTCTGTCTTTTCGCGTGCTTCCGGTTGAAAGCTTCGGAAGGCGAAGACAGTATGAGTGGAACAAGAATGACAGCCAGTATTGGAAATGATAACATGTTGCTGGTGGCCGTTTGATTAAGCGGCTATAATAATGCGAATACAGTTTGTAAAGTTTCACCGTGACAAGGAAAAAATCGCTGCCCGGCACGTCCACTCATGCCCCAGATCCTCATGTCCGGAAGCCGTGGCGGTGAAGGCCATGCCACCGGTCGATGCATGCAAAGGTGGAAAACAAAAAAAATTGAGTTACGGTCTGACCCGGATTCGAACCGGGGAAAACCTAGCATTTTGCGAGATCCCCCGAAGAAGGACGGCTAAAGAGCAGGAGTAGTTCCAAGTATACTATCAGACCTTGGTGTTGGTGTAAACACGTTTAATCTATCTGCCAACCCATCAAATGGAAGCAGGGTTCAGATTTCACCACGGTCCCACTAATCTCTTTGTGTTACCTGCAACCTACACATGATGGCGTCACGATAAGCCACGCTGCTCTCATTGAAACTTCCCCATATCAATTGGGGGTTTCCCAAGCATTTTCCCCTCACTCCGTTTTCTCACGCGGACCGTCGACATCAAGTTCATCGCCTCCAGTAACGGAGAGCTACCATCTTCCCTTCTCCACCTATTATAGCGCACGCGCGAAGAGACCAGACAAGTTTGACCATAATGGCGCACCCTCCTGGCCACCCACACGGGCCGTTGATCGACTCACCAACTATCGCGCGCAAAATCCATCAAACGGCGCTAGCAGTGTCTTTCGTCTCTACGATTCTCTGCATGTTAGTCTCCGGCACTCTGTATATGTTTTCCATGTACGGCCAACAGGTATATAATTGGGCTCCACCCGCTTTGTCCTGCTTCTATTTGTGGGTTGCAGACTGATGTTTGTACTTCAGCATTCTCACACACACCTTAGCTAGGAAGGCGGCTTATTTATAATCAGACGCAAGTTGCTACCGTTGCGGTGGCTGGTACTTGCGGCCAATACTTTGGCGGGTTATTTTTTGGGTGAGTCCTTGGGCGGTTGAAGCGACAAAAACGAACGGCTTATACCATTTTCTACCCAGTCCTATCGCAGACAGAAACAGCAGAAATCCGAGCAAAATATTCATAGCAGCGGGGAGTTTACTGTTGATGGGATATCTCCTAGCGGGAGCAACGGTTGCTGAGAAGCTACCGAAGGCTCATTTCCTCCTATTTTCATTGTATTTTCTCATGATTGGGCTCGGGGGGTAAGTTCAGTCATTAGGACCGTGGGCAGACTTAAGCAATGAAATGATGAACACCCTTATGACAATAGTGCCGCAATGCACTCCGCAGCAATGGGAACCAACATCCGCAACTGGCCTGCAAAGCACCGGGGGTTTGCAGTGGGTGTGCCAGTTGGGTTCCTGGGACTGGGCGCCGCCATTTTCGCCGGTATCGCCTCAATTTTCTTCTATCGGGAAGAGGGCAAAGGGCGTGTGCTGGATGTTGGCCAGTTCCTCACATTCATGGGCATCACCTGCGCGGTGATTGCATTCCAAGCTGCATTCACGCTACGGGATGTAAGGCATTTGAAACCAACGGAAATCCTAGGCGCATTAGACAACACCACCGATGAAGATGTGACGGACGAAGTTACTGAAGCTGAAGCGAGCAATGGAGCCAGCACAACCGAACAGACAGCGCTTCTGAGACCAGCAGAACATCACTCGACTTCCATCCGCCAACTGGACGCATTGCTTTTAGCGGGAGTTCTCTTCGCGGTCGGTGGAGCTGGTCTCACCTACATCAACAACGTCGGCGCCATCATCGTCGCTGTCTTTCCAGACGAGTACTCAGCTGACAACCCCGAAGTCCAACAAGCTCAAAAGTTCCACGTTGCCCTCCTTTCCATAGCAAGCTGTTCCGGTCGAGTCATCGTCGGCGTCCTCTCCGATATATTCGAGAAGCGCTTTCACTTCAACCGGTTGTTCTGGCCTTTGACGGCCGTCACTTTGATGTTGGGAGGGCAGATGTTGGGCGCTATAACGAAAGATTATAATCAGTTGGTTCTCGTAACAAGCATCATTGGGGTTGCGTATGGGGCGGCGAATACCGCTTTTCCAGTGGTTGTGGCGCATCTGTTTGGAGCGGATGGATTTTCCACTAACTGGTGAGAGTGCACCGACCATGAACGCTCCTGATCTGGTGGGATGACCTTGAGTCTAATGATGTCTATTGGTTGCATCACTAGGGGCGTGTTAGCTACCGCAATGGCAATAGGAGGACAAATATGTACTTTCGTTTTCGGAAGGGTAAGAGCTCGGCATCGGCGATTCTTGGCAATGCACATCGCTGACGAACCCATCCTTCATAAATGCGACCCTTCCCACCAGCTCTACGACTACTACAGCTTCCACGACCCCGTTGGCGACGACCACCCACTACCCCAATGCAAAGGCTCTGAATGCTACATCCACGCATTCGTGTTGACGGGACTGATCTGCGGCTTGGGGATCGGACTGTGTCTGATTCTCTATTGGCGAAGAGTCTGGCGGTGGGTTGGACGACGGGATGTTTATTCTGCGTGATGAGTGTGAGAGCCAATGAAATACTGTCTGTAAATAGGAATACGAGAAAGGCGCGGTTGAGGAAGGCTGCTTGATCAGATATTTGGCTTTCTGATTTCGTGTTTTTGGAACAGTGGTTCGTGTTTGGATTGAGATGGTCGAGGGGAATGCGTATGTTTATGGGTTGATATCAGTGTGGACATGTGCAAAATTAGTATGTCCACGCCCGTTTCTAGAGCTTCATTCACATGTTTTTCTACTTTGTCTTTTCAAGGCAAATAGTGCGTGTTCAAACCTCACCAGAAACACCCAATGAAAACTGAAGACCACAATTTTATGGAATTTATTTACAAGAATCGCACGATTTCGATCTGAGTGCGAAATATTGGTGACATTACTTGTGTCCTGACAAGGCATCATGCAGGCGACTTCAACATAACTTTATCCAGCACAGCTGCCGCGGCCGAGGAAGGACGGGACGCCTTCATGCCGGGTATATTTACGTCCTGTACATTTGCACGGGCAGAAAGTGAAAAAGTGTTACGGAAGGAAGACGACCCTTCAAAAGTGTGGGACTTCAGCCCTCCCTTCTGTACCTCAATTTGAAACAACGGACACGCATGGAACGTCAACGCCTGTGATTCGGTGGCATCGCAGAAAGCATCAAACGTGATCGTGTCTCCGTTCCCACCACTTGCGCCGCCACCAGTTTCTTCCTCATCCCGTTCGCGGGCATCTTGAAAGATGCGTTTTAGAACGTCCTGGAATTGGGGAGGCAAGTCGTGGGATGATGAGGAATAGATGTTGGGAAGGTGACAGTGGGTATAGTGATGACTACTCTTACCATCGAGAAGGGATCCTCCGGATTTGACGCTGGTTGGGAAGGCGATTGGGCGTCATTTATCACCGCTAGACGGTGGGTATCGTCAACCACGACGAAGAAATGGTGGAAGAGCTAAGGGGGTTGTCGATGAAGGTGTGAGTATGCCATCAGAGGTGGTCATGGGCTCAATATTTTCGCAATGATAGCTCAACAAGCTCAACCTTACCTGATAAACCTCCTCAACCTTCACCAACCCATTCTCCCCCTGCCCAATTGCCACAAACGCCTTCTGCAGTCCCAATTTAGGCGTCTCGTCCAAACTGGCACACATCAAGAAACTAATACAATCAAACACGCTGCCGTCTTCTGGTGGTGTGCCGTGCTCTGGGATGAACCTGGCGCCTGCTGATGTTGTGACATAGGATGTTGCTTGTGGTTTGGTTTCGTCTGTTTGTGTTTCCTGTTGGGCATTGGTTGCGGGGTTGTCGGCTTCTTCTTCTGATTCGGAGTCTTCTGGGTGTGGTTTTTTGTCTGTTGGGTGGGGGGAGTCGAGTTGGTCTGTGCCGGAGGCGGTTAGACTTGCTCCTCCTTCGGCTGAACCGTCTTGCGCTGTTGATCGTGATGCTTTTTGGGAATCGTCCGGTGGTGGGACGGCGAAGAAGTCTGATAGTAATGACAGAGGTGTCAAAAAGAAGCGCTAAAAGGAAACTGGTAAGCACAAAACTTACAAAACATAGCCCTTTTCAACTTCTCCCCTCTTCTAAACTTCTCCTTCCCATTCCCATTCCCATCCCCATCCTTATCCCTGTCTCCACCCGCCACACTGACAACAGCAAATTCGTCGGCCTCCTCCTCAAACCACATCGGTAGCGTCTCGTAATCTGCTTTGCTGATCTGAAAGAGAGAGAGGTCAGGCAACGTCTCAGTTCCCCTCTTCAAGAAGAAGAATTCGAGTTTCAAAATCATACCTTGCCATCTTTGAAAGACGCACAACCCCTCATCGCGTCCCTCAACACCCTCACAGTCTCCACACCAGGAGCTGGCAATACACGTGTATTAAGCATCAAAAATTTGCGCCAATTTACAAAGCCTGTTTCGTATGGGTCGAGAGGTACGCAGAGCTGGAAACCAAGTTTTTTTACCGAGTAAGTTGTCGTACTAACGACAAGGGGCAATCAACAACTAAATATATCTCACCTGCTGCAGCTTTTCGACATCCGCACCCATATATGACTCCGGCAACAATTCCGTGCCGACACTCAAAGTGCCCATTTTGATAAGGCAGTCGACAAATTCTTTGGATGTCATTGTTCCATCAGGTGATACTTCGCGGAATTGTAACGCCAGGTTCAGCAGTTGCAAAACCGTGAATTGATCAGGCGCTGGGCAGGTAGAAACTGTCAACCACACATCAAAAAAAAACCCCCCTAAAGCAATACACCCAAACTCACAAATCCTCTCAACAGGACTCTCAGGCCTCTTCTCCAACTCCGGCTCAAACGTCAAAAGCTTGAAATTGACTCTGAACTTCTCCCCTTCCAATGTCAACTGATTCGGGAGGCGTGTTTCCATTTCCACAGCTTCCTTGATGACGACCATCAGTTCGCGGATGGCGTCCATTTCGGATTGGAAGCGGAGGCCGATCCAGTCTTCTAGGAGGCAGTAGGCTTCGAGGCCTTTTGTGCGGAGGTCCTGGGTGGTGGTGGGAAGTTAAGGGGGTTAGGAAGGGGAGGAGGGAAGGGTTGCTTACTCGAAGTTGGTCCATGGCGTGGTGGCGAAGACGTTCGATTCTTCGGCGGAGGAGGTGGTCTTCTATTTCGATTGTTTTGTGGTATTGTGCCGGGAGGTCTGCATCTGGTTCTCCTGTGATTTATAGTAATGCGACGTTTAGACCCAAGTTCAAATGTGATACGCACAGGTCGGACTGCAAATACCCACTCTTCTCTTCCACAACCTCCGGCTGAGCGCCCTTCTTCTTATCCTTCTTATCCTTCT